CAGCGGCGCGTCGAGAGGGAGGCGGCGGAGCGGGTGCTGCGCGCCCTGGAGAGCGGGCCCCGAGAGCTCTTCCCCGAGTTCCTGCTGGCGCTGGAGCGCGGTGGCTGCCGCCTGGCCGCCAGCTACCTGAACCCCAGCCTGAGCCAGCTGCCCTCGCCCGGGGAGGAGGCCCAGCACGACCTGTGCGTGCAGCTCGTGCAGCTGCTCTACGGCACGCTCGTGGACAACATGCGCGCCGTGCAGGTGGCTGAGAAGTGCCTGCAGTTGGACATCTTCACCGTGGAGGACCTGGAGCGGGTAGGTGGCCCTGGGAGGTGTCTGTGAACACCGGCCGCCCCCAGGAGCAGGGCAGGGAGGAAGCGGCAACAGTAAATGGTGATGTAAGTGCAGAACTGATGGGTGGGTGATGAAGGAGGCCAAGAGTCTCCTTGACTCCAAGAGTCTCTTGAGTCCCCAAGAGCCTCCGGGGAACAGAGAAATGGGACTCTTTTAAGTATGCCATGGAAGACTGTTCAGTGGTAGGCCAGGAGGATGAATGTCAGCTAAGAGCTAGTGGAAGAAGTTGTCTTGAACAGAGAGCTAGCGTAGACCAGCAGCACCTCAGTAGAAGGAACCTGGTCAACACTGCTTGCTGATACTTGTCGCTTTGCTACAAAGCCTAGCCTAAGAAGACTATAAAGTATCTTCTAGCCCCAAGACCTGCTTCCCGTTTCACTCTCTTCTTGTGCCAGAGGTTCACAAAGGAATGTAAAAGTTGACAGTGGACAGGGAAGCTGAGAAGAAAAGCTCCTTTGTGAAGAAAGACTAAGCATCGCTGTATGAAAACATTTGCCAGTGTTTGCTCCATTTGACCAAGAATGATATGCGTAGACTGATGTGAAACTTACTTGGAAATAAACAAATTAAAACAACAAAAAAATGGGTACCCTGAAACTTAGTATTACAAGAGTAAATGATGGTAAGACCTGCTGTAGGGTCTAGGGAAAATGGCAAACTAATGGCATTACATATTTGCACTCTTGAGCTTTTGCATCAGATTTCTTGGGTAGTTTGATGCTTTCCGAGCTAAATGACAGCCATGTGCCTCATTTCATCAGCTTGGTGACTGTCAGGGAGCAGCAGGGGCCTGCTGCTCGGGAAGAGAAGGAGAGCCAGGAGTCAGTCAGCACAGCAAGGCAGCTGGCAGAAGCAAGGGCTTTGCCCGTAGATGACCTGCCCCATTCCTGAATCGTTCCACATGTTCTCTGGGCATCTTTGGCTCTGGTTTTTCAGTTGAAGCTTTTTATTTGCCTTCACATCCTTGTCAATTTAAATTCCACCAGTGTTTTGGCCTTAATGCCATCTCTGCTTACCTGAGCAGTGCTTCCATATTTTCTTTTTTGGTTACCTCATCCTGCTTTCATTTCTCATGCACTTCTTTTTGGTTTCAAGCCATGTTCAGCCAGACCCACCCATTTGCTTGCATATCAGGATGGATGATTCTTGATCACTGAGGTTGCCTTCACTGTTTGAACACCTGCCCCAGGCTGCAATGCTCTGGGGCAGTCTCGTTGCTTCTCTTGGGAGGTATTATGCCTAGTTCTGCTCAAGATGGCCTTGTGATGCGTTTCCATAGCTTCTTTCAGGGCAAAGAGATAAGTACCTGCCTTAGCACCTTCAAGTAGTAAGTGTGATGATGAAGTCAATGTGCAAGAAGAAGAATGTTCCATTATATGTCTGCTGCCACAGACTGAGGCTGAGGTCTCGTGAGCTGCATGACTTCAGTATGTATTTAGTAATGGTTGGCTCTTTTCTAAATCATTGTAATCAGTGATTATTTTTTCATAATAATGATTACTATTATATGCACTGTTTAGTGTGCTGTTTTATATTCATTGTTCAGTCTCTCAAATTTCAGATCCCAAGTTTTATACATCTTACCTGAAACCATGTGTGATAAACATGAAATTGGACAAAAATAGAGTAAGCTTCTGATGAATAAAGCTGTTGGCAGGGCCCCTTCATGTTTCTATCTTTACCAATGTTTTAAATGGTGACAGAGAAGTGCTTTTGTATGTTTATACTGTTCTTAGTAACTATCTGAACCATTCCAAACCATTCCAAAGCTATATCTCTTTTTTTTTTTTTTTTTTTTTTTTTTTTTTTTTTTTCATTTCCACCAGATCCAGACTGCTACTGATAATCGTGGGAATAGAGAAGGTGCAAGGGAGTTGCTAAGTAGAATAGTTCAGAAGAAGGATTGGTTCTCCGGGTTTCTGAGAGCCTTGCGTGAAACCCAACACGAAGACCTTGCAGATGACTTAAGTGGAAATACAGCAGGTAATAATCTTACTTCACTAGTATTAATGACTTTTCCTTTTTTTCTTAATACTGTGACTGAGGAAACAGTACTGGGTTTTCACCGTATATCTTATAGTTTTACATTTTATGTATATATAGATTTATATAGAGATATATAGATTTCACTGCATCACTGAGACTAATGCTTTCAGTTATCCAGAGCTTTCAAAAACACATTTCTTAATAGCTTACTTGATAGATTCTTAAACACTAATTCTTAATTGATAGATTCTTAAACAACATCAGAATTCAAATACATACGTAATTAAACTGAATGCTTATCTTTTGTTATCTAATTGTTTTCAGTATAATATTATGATCATTAATTGGAAGATTCAGAATATGATTTTGAACAAACATAAACCTCTTTCAGATTTCTCCTTCAGCTCCAGGATTAGTGTTTCCTCAGGTCCCTAGAAACCTTGTATAAAAATGATTAGAATAGAATAAACTAATTTGCGGATGATGTATAGAACTGAAAAGAAAGTAAAAGAGCTACTGAATTTTGGGTAGTACTTTTTGGTTCTGTACAGTGATTATTTTATAAAATTATCCTGCTGCTTCCCTACATTCTAAACCTTGAAAGACACAAGCAGCCCCCAAATGCTTATTTAGCATATGTCTTTTAAGATTTCTGGGGACTTAAGGTTTTTTACCAGATTCTCCATTTTACGTCTTTATCGTTCTTGCTTGAAAAACTCATCAAAGCTATGTCTTTCTGGCATCCATGTCCATGTAATTTTAGTTGTTGCATATGGGACTATGCATTCAGGTTGGCATCAGAAGTGCAGGAAGGTGTCCCTTCCACAGGCAACACAGGTTCCTCAGGCACATGAGCGTAAGCAGCAGCCACGTTTAAGCATGCCTTTTTGCTGTGCCTAGGTCTTCCAGTTTGCAAGACAGGACCAATCTGGTCGGAGCCTTAAACAAGTTAGAAAGGTGAACGTTCGAGGCTGGGAGTAGTGCAGTGGCTGCCGTGGTCCTAAACTTCATTTTATGTTGCAGCTGTGTCAGGCTTAAGTTCCTGTGTTCTTTACTTTGCTATTGGTAAGGTAAACAAACTAGTAAATATTTGGCAAATGAGCAAATTATGAAAGTTAATTCTGTGTTAACTCTGCGTTTTGGAATCTTCTGTACAGTGCAGACCAGATAAAACTTAAGCAGTTTAATTCATTTGTTCAATGTAATGCTGAATGTATGTATTTATTCAAAGACTTCCCTGTAATCTTTGGTAATACAGTCCTTAAAAGAAAGGTACAGATTAACATGTAAAACGTAAATCATGTTAGTCTTACCAGAATATAAGAAACATTCCAGGTACACAATTCTGAACATGTGTAGAACATCACAATATCCAATGATACAATGACAAGGACAGGAAGCACTAAGAAAAGGTTCACAGAGTACGTTGTGAGGAGGAGAGTGTAGGTTCATATTATAACTCCAGTTTGGTCCCTAGGGATTTGTTACAGTAAATTGTCATTACCATACTCATGTACATAGCGAGAGCTTTATAGAAAACTAATCTTGATTCATCCATTAAAAAGATCAATTAGTTACTTTAAATTTAATTTCTAATTGCACAGTAGTTGAATCCAAATTTGAAAAGCTCTGAATGCAATTTTCCAAAGTTTTATGAAATATTTATAATTTGTTGAATGGCATGTTATGTTCAGCTTTGTATGCCTCTAATAAAGTCTGGTTTTGTATGCCTCTGATAAAAATAACATTAGAACAAAAGTAAAAATTACATATATATTAGAAATAAGACAAAAAATGGAAGGAGGGAGAGTGTTTTTGGAAAGTTTCCTATTATATGGATAAGTAATAAAGCCTAAGACAAAGTCCTACATTGAGATACATCCATTATGAACTTAGAGAACTGATAGAGTTAAGATACAACAACTGATCTAGTTCATTTTTTCCACTTCCAAATCTTCACAGTGACAACAAATAATAGATTAACGGCAAACAGCTTTAATTTACAAACATTTACAAGAACATTGATACAACCTATGATGTTTAAATCAAAGTCTAAGGTGCCATTATGTGCTCACTTGAACATGTATGATGAACTCAGCATAGTTCTGTGTTTTCTGTGCTGCACACTGAAAGAAAGTGTTTTATAATGCATTTCTATTTATTTTCTAGGAGTAGAAAATAAAGAAAATGAGTTGAGTAACAGTACAAATGAAGAAGGAGAAGTCACAAGGCAACCAGGAAGTGCTGCAGTGGAGGATTTCAAACAGCAAGAAAATATGAACGATAGTTCAACCAGTGAGACCAGTGTTTTGGAAAGCTCTTTTGCAGAGATTTCTGTAGCTTCAGGTATGTTCAATGACAGTTGGTACTGCTTAAACTTTAGTAACTGGAAGCAAATCAGTGAAAGTCCTAGAACGCTTGTTTCTCACTAGCTCCACTATTGTTAAAAAAAATGGGAACACTGATGAGAAGGGAATTAATGGAACATACAAATCTTGTTTTCTTGGAAGCAGTAAATATCTTTTTATATGTGTATATATATATATGAATTAACAGTAGAAGAAATTTCAGGGGTCAGATATTCTAGTTCGCTTACTTCAGTTCAGAGGAGTTGCCCCAGGTTAGTTGTTCTAGCTGCTCTCAACCTAAAATAAATACAAAGAGCTGCTTGAGAGATCAGTTTGCTTGCAGAGAACAAAATTGAAGGGACATGGCCAGGATAGCTATGTTCTGTTTACCCTGCATGTAGTGATCATTTTTGACCTGCTGTAGTCCATTTGAGCTTTTCATAATTGACCAATGTTAGTCTTCCTTTCTTCTTAAGTAGTGTTTTTAAACAGCACTGTATTTATTTTAAATTCACTGTGCGAAGAGATGAGTAGTTTGCACATGCCTACTTCTTCAGGATTATTTATTTAAATAAAACTAATTATTAAATTAGTACTTTGTTCCTGACGTATTCAAGATTTGTACCAACTAATGAAAGAGGTGGTTCAGTATGGCAGCTCCTCATAGCACTGGCAAAGTTTACATCAAGAAGAATATTTCTACACCCCTAAAACTGTATCTGTATCAAGATCCTCTGTTAGTAGAGGGCAGATGTTCCATCCTGGAAACATTTTGATCTTAGTCCTTTAGTTATCCGTGAAGTACTTGTTATTTTAAAGGTTTATATTTACAGAGCATCTGATTAAACCTGTGTTACTTCACATCACACACACATAGAAATACAGCTTTAAGAAGTTATTTGGGCATTTTTAAATGGATCCAATTCTAAACTTGTGTGTGGAGTTGATTATGAGCAGCAGCAATTGCAGATCTAACTGGGAGCTGATGATTTAAACATATGCTATATGATTAAGGAACCATTCATATCTGTTAAAACTTCAGAAGGAATTCAAACAATGGTTGAAAATGAGCTAAATCTTGCCTGAAATGACTTTATTGGGCTTACTCAGCCCAAGAAGTGAGACGGCTAATATTGCTCTTTTTGTGTTAAAACGTGAATAAATCAAGGTGAGTTTGGCCCTGAAAATTGCAGTTTTTCAATGTGCAGTAGTAGATAGCTTATTTTCTGCCCAGAGAGGTTGTGGAGTCTCCCTCTCTGGAGATCTTCAAAACCCGCTTGGATGCAGTCCTGCGCCACGTGCTTTAGGTGTCCCTGCGTATGCAGGGGGGTTGGACTAGATGATCTCTAGAGGTCCCTTCCAACCCTAAGCATTCTATGATTCTATGATTTTTCTTTTCATTTAGTGTGACATCAACAGCACATCAGTGTTTGGTAGCAAGTAGTGAATTAACTAGAGCAAAAACGTGAACTTGGTTTTGCTGGATTGGGACATAATTTGACAGTAAGAAGAAGAGGTTCCAAATATTTAAGGATGATGCAGAATGGATCAAACTGAATTTTCTTTGCTCTTAGGGTCCCTTGAGTGCAAGGTTTAGGGTCTGAAGTGCAGCCACACTGAGAGTAATTTGCCATTGCTTTTAGCTAGATCTTACAGATGGTTGTCAGAATTGCAGGTAACTAAAGCTATTTATCTATTAACTAGCCAGCCACAAGCTAATTCCAGCCTGAAAACTGTGGTCTATTGGGCACAGAACTGTAGTCATATTAAACAGTTCTATGTCTACATTAGCAAGTTGGACAGTTGAGCAGATTTGTAAGGTGAAATACTTGATCCAAAGATGTTTGTATTTTGCTGCATTTTGGTTGTTTGCTTCAGGTTAACTCCGGTCTGTTGCTGTGGACCGCATGCCTGTGAGCCCCTGGAACATATCTTACTTAGTTTCAGCTCAGATGAGTCATTTCACATGGTCCGGAACATCTCTGTAATATGAAACTAAGTGCAGTACGTGGGGACAATTAATGGACTTGCTCTAAAAGCGTGCTTCGGAGTTGAACTCGAATAGCAGTGTAGATGCAATGCCCCAAGGGCTGCCAGGAGACAGCACTGCATTAACGTGGCTATAGAGGAACTAGCTCACATTCAGCTGTACGAAGTGAGCCCTCATTTGTATGCACTTCCACAAACACAGCTCCATTCAAGTTTTCTTCCAGTCGCATCCTCTTCCATGTATCTCTCACTGGATTTTTAAACCAGACAGCTAAGAATACAATACAGCCCAGTTTCTACTTCCACAGTGGTGGGCTTGGTACCCACCAAATTTACAATTTGATGTAGGCAGATGTCTCCAGTTTTGCAGTGCATTCTCACCTTTCCTCTATGTATTAGTGTGGGGAGGGAACAGGCAAATCGCTTGAAGTCCCTTGGAATTACTGTGATATGCACTGGATCTCTGCTGACTCATTTATTGGGGCAGACAGGGCAGGGTGGGTCAGGGACAAAGTGTAAAAACAGTAGGATCCTAAGGACAAAGTAGAATTAGATAATTTAGCCTAAGAGAAAAGTAGAAACAACCTGACTATACAAAAAAAAATAAAATAAAGAAACACACAAAAACCCATCATAAAAGCAGCAAGTTTGCAAAGATCAGAAGTGGAATATTTAAATTAAGTTTCTGGCTTACCTGTATGAATCACACTTTACATAAGTTGGAGCTCTGTTTGTCAAGACCTATTTCATAAAACAGAGCTGAGTGGAACAAGTAATTATACTGTGAGAAAATTACACATAGGAAAGTGTATCCTATTTCTATCCTTCCTTCCCATCATAAACAGAGTCATGATTTTCAAGAGTATTTTGCCCCCTGCTGGTTCCAGTACAATCTGACAATAAATACCTGATTACTTATCTATGGTAAATGTAAAGCGATATCACTTGCCTTTTTTTTTTAAATTAATTGGAGCCTTCAGTAATGTCTTAAATGTAGCATCTAATGCTTTCAATTGGAAAAACAGTTAGTTGTTGAAACTATGTTCAAAATTTATTCTATGGTCAGAAAAGGAGGACTTAACTAAAATGCACAAAGATTCATGTTCTTTGCAGCCCATCCCCTATATATTCATTTCTATTAATTTGTTATTGCAAAGTGACTGGAAAATCTCTCTATGGAGAGCACTATGTTACATCGTGCAAGTAGTACTTTAAGGGAAGACTGCTGAAACTGGCAAAAATAATTGATAACATTAACCTTTTTATCGTAACAGTTTTGGAAAGGCTTACCTCTTTTTCTTTTTTTCTCTCTGACTTTTCAAGTAATTCAAGAACACTACCACAGCCTTTGCAGGAGAACATTTTACATGTAATTTCCACTATGTTCTGTGGAGAGGGGGTTTTGTAATGCATACTGCAGACTGTAATTCAAACAGTTATTTACAAAACACTGAAAGGACACTCAACTGCTGCATGCATATATTTCACTAGGTCATTTTAGATTGCAGATCACATAATAAATGCTTATAATTTTAATTTATTACCCCCTTCTTATCAACCTGGATTCCTTGAAAGTGAGAATGAGATGTCAGTGTCATTTTCATACCTGGAATTCCCACTAAGGTTACTTAATATTTTGTCATAGGTCTTAGAATACATACTATAATTGGTAATGCTTTCTTTTGTTCTCAGGACAATGCTGTCTCATTTTGCAACAATATATTAGATATATGTATTAGATATATCATATATAGAGAGTGAGTGATGTGTATGTGTATATTATATGTGTTATAGCACATATGTATATAATATATGCTAGATAAAAATTGCAAGGGAAAATTATGATTCATATAAATTGGACTCCCAATACAATTTAAGTGTTTTTCTGTTGATTGCACTGATATGGAGGAGATTAGCCTTTTAATTTAGGTGCTTGAAGCCTTTAAATAGCCCTTCCCATCATAACACTTCTTGTGGATAGTTTTAGTTTATATTCAGACCAGTTTTTAAGGTCTGCATGGAATGACTGAAGAAACTTGTAGGACGCAGAGAGGTGCTTGCATCATTTTTCATGACTTTATGATTAAAAAGAAAAAAATAGCTCTTAAAGCAAACAGCTCTCTAGCTGTAGTAGCGGCTAAGGTAGCTTGGAGTAGAACCCAGCTTAGAGTTGTCACAGTCTCACTTGTCCTGCGAGCCAGCAGTTTCATGGCTGTCAGCCATTCATCTTCCAAGGACACCAAAGCCAAAGCTTCAGATTTTTGCTGGCCACAGATGGCTTAATTCGATCTCACTTACCAAAATATTGTAGTACGTATTTCATGAGTGTCCCATTCTCAAAGCTCCATGACCGTAAGCTCTTTTCGGTTCTGAACTTTAATTCGTAGCGTCTGCTTAGCTGTATGGATTATTCGTTGGGGGCAGTACGTTGTGTGACTGTGGACAACAATGAGATACTCAACGGGAAAAGCTATGGAAAAGCTTGATAGGCCACAGGTGAATTAGCAGGGGTAAATGGTATTATTTTGATTAATTTTTTCCTATAAGCAGTATGAGCTCTGCTGGGGAACGCTACAGGTCAACTGACACATAGAACAGGATGAGTCTGTCTGGAGCCGAGTAGAATTCCAGTAGAACACTGCATCTCTTCAGATGTTAAAATGTCTGAGGTTTTTTTGGAAAATATGACTATATAAATTGCATTGTTGGGATAGGGAAAAAAATCAAAACAGTGTAATATATGTACTGCCCAGAAGAGGGAGAGCTTAACATTAGAATATCTATAACATGCTGGATTTCCATGGTAGTAGCCTAGGCTTCTAGTGGGTGTAATGTGAGTGGCAGTTTGTGCTTTTACTTGCAAAACTCTTGAATGATTTAATAGTCTCTTTCTGTTTTTATTTACCTGGGAACTGTCACTTCCCTTCTTTTACTATGTGAGGAAACCTGTTTTTAAAAAGCAAAAGTTCCCGTTTTGATTTTACTCGATTACAGATACAACTCCCATGACTTACAGGGAGTTAGGAAGAATCTTTAATATGCATGCAGTACTGTGTATCCAATGGAACTGCGCACTTTCCTTCCTTTTTTTGCTTTTCCATCCATTTCTGAAAATATGCAGAAAAACAGGACTGGAAAGAATCATGCAGGTGGTCATGCTCAGCGTGACCACACTAAATCATGAAACTGCCTTTTGTCTGCTATGTTTTAGATTTTTAATTTTTCTTCAGTAAGAGGATAAATTACATGGTTCACAGTTTTATATTTATCTAAGAAAAAGACCAGTAGATGAATAAGATTCTGCCAGGATCCTCAAGTTAAATGTTACTAACTTTAAACTGATCTGATTTTCCTCTGTTTCTGCAGTCCCTGGAAAATAGTTAATGCTTCCTGTCTTCTCAGCAGCCTTTTATGATTAAGGGAAAACTATGTTCTGCTGTCCTTTCCTCCTGACTTCTTCCTTTTATTTCCTTTTGCTTTAAACTAGCTCAAAATGCATGTTTTGACATGCATAGATCATGCATAACGAGTTTTAAGCTAGCTACTACAAAATGCATACTCCTTTGCTTTTACACCTTTACATCTGCCTTTTGCAGGCATATGATCTTAACATTAGCAAGGAAAAATGCTGCACAGAGTAGCACTGATATTGCCCCTTCCAATTCAAATAAAAGTCAGGCCTGAACTCTGTTTAAAGCATGTTAAAAACATTCCACTATGGAATATTTCTCAAATTATTTAAAAAAAAACCTCTGTTTGACTTATCTTTCTTCATTCAGCCTATGAATCAGCAACAACTTTCTCCCTGCAAGGCTGAGGACTAAAACAGCTGTAATTACTGCCTGAAGATATATATATTTGCCTGGGTGCAATTAAAGGTAGTTAAAGACAGGTTGCATTTCCCTCATTTTCCCTATTTTTGGACTGTAATTACAGCCATTTCTTATTTCTGATCTCATGCTGAAGCTGCCAGCAGCTATCAGCATTGCTTTTGCCTGTTACAGTTTACAACTGTGGTTCAAAAATGAATCTGCTGATAATAACAGCAGGTAGTACAGGAACAGTTGCCTCACTTTGCTCACACTCCTTGACATATTAAAAGAATATGGTGAAATAATGCAGAATATGTAATGCATCATCAGGAATAAGCCCTGGCTGCAAGCTGCCTGACTTGGATCAGACTTGCAATTATTTAGAGGGAGAGAGATATATAGTTTTGTTACTTGTATAGCAAACTATATATACCATATTTGGATATGTTTTTTTTTAATACATGCTGTTATCTTCTGTTTATGTTTCTGTTTGTGTGTTTCATTCAGAGTCTGATGTCCCTATAGGGGATGGAAGTGTCAATAATGTGAGTGAAAACCTGGGACAGAGCAGCAGCACAACCAGTGATTCGGGTATGTTTCGCTTCTGTTAGTTAGTAATTACAAAATATGCTCTGCAGGGTGAGCTAGAGCAAAATCAAGGATTTTACTCTGAGCTCCAGCAACAGTTCCTAAGTGCAAGACTTCCACTATTTCACTGGAAAATAGAAGGCCATTTTTGTAAGTCTGGACTTAACTCTCCGCCTCGAAAGACTTGATTCCTTGGGATCCTCTGAATAGGTCTGCAGACATTACTGTCATACAGATGGTCAGTGGTACAGAATAACAGAATCAGACAGGTTAGAAGGGACTTGGAGTGCTCATTTAGTCCAGTCCCCTGTAAGATTCGTAATACTGGAATGTTCTGAGGGCTGCTCCACTGCTCCTCCTAGAGAGGAGCTAGACTGCACCTGATGCCTGCCTAGGACAAGTGAGAGGGAATAGGCCACGCTTTAGAGGCTTCTAGGAACGAGGAGAAGCATTTCCAAGGTACTTGCAGAGCCCTATGAAGGTCCATTTTGGGCCTAAGGAATTCATTAGCACTGTTATGAGTGTTGAGCAACCTAATCAATGGGAAACAGTGTCTGAAGACATTTGCAAATCTACTTTTAAACATCTACGTTATCTAAGTTAAACATCTAAGTTATCTAAGTTAAACAAAATGTTGTGTTAAACTAAAGATGAGACTGTGTTTACACAATACCTTGTTATTTTGTACTGTATATACTGCAAGCGAATACTGTTGTTTTAAAGGACATCCCAGATTTCTCCTCCTCTCTGCCTTTTTTCCCTTCTTAATCTTGGACCTCAGCCCAAACTAGTTTCAGCTGTCTACCATAGAGAGTTTAAGCACATTCTGCATTTGGCTACACGGAATTCACGAGAGAGAAAAATTGCCTTTTGGAATCTGGCCTTAATAAAGTTGGTTCTAGAACTGTGTATTGTGTAGTGGCTAGGCACAATCTGAGTACCTTACAGTCCAGCTCTGCTAATATGGCTATTTGATCAGTAAAACCAATGTAATGATAAAAACCTTTAAAGTAGTTTCAGCCTTCTTTAATATTAAAATCTATCCATTTTGCAAATACAGAGAAAATTCAGAACATCTTGAATCTAACTGCCTTCCTACAGATAGTGTTTTAGTATACACAGTTAGCTCTGAGGAACGTGCTTGTGACACTCCAAGTGACTTATCAGTCGTATTAAGATTGTTTCCTCTGAGTCACATGGAATGTGAGGGCAGAGAAACTTCTCTATTCTGTGTGTAGCTGTAGTGAGTCGGTTGGTCAGACTGGTACAGACTGCAGATATCTGGTAACACAAATACGTACAGCCTGATAATTAAGGTCAGTGAAAAAACTCCCGTTAAGTGACTTGGATATTGACTAGTAGTGAAGTTCCATAGAAAAGATAAGTCACTAAAGTTATGTGAATGCTGCAGAATATATATTTTTTTTTATGATTACTTGTTCTGCTTGCACATGGGTTTTAAAAACAGTAAGTTAAAGCATGTTTGAAAAACACTCATGCTCTTTATTGTCAGTGAGAGCAAGTATTAGAATAGCAGCGAAAGAGGTACAAGTAGATGTTGTGGAATTTATGGATTTTGCAGTAAGGCTGTTGCATTAAATAGATATATAGGTAGTATCTTAATGCACTCACATGATTTGGATTCTAATGCACAGAAATATATGGATTTAGTCATTTTTTTACAGGTATTATTTTACATTTAAAAAGAGATGTTGGAATTAGAAGAATAGAATAATTATCATGACTCTCTGTCTGGAGCAGCGATTCATCTGAATTTTGTAGAGTAGCAGATGACTTCCCCCAAATGATACTGTGCATTATGGAAATTATTTAATGGAATCATATCCTGAGTAAAGATTCCTGTATTATCCTTTATCTAAACAGGGGTCAAGCAAACTAGGGGAGAGTAAAGTTAAATATTTTTTAGGCCTGGACAGTTAGTTGAGGATGTTAAAATACTAAAATTTAACCAAACAGATGGATGATAAAGTGCTAGTTTCAATATGATTGAACTATTGGATTTAGTCAAGCAGAAAGCAAACAATGTTCTTCCTCAGAAGAGAGTAGTAGAAGTCAGATAAGTAAGGGCAGGTACTCTCTGGTGTGATTTTTCCCTGGATTCCAGGTAGTATTGCACTCACACTAAAAGGCAAAACAAGCAAAAAACACTTAGAAATGGCATTCGGATGTTTCCATCAGCAGTATTTTCTCAAGGTTCATTACTTTCTGTTAGTTTAGTTTTATTTAATGGAATAAGGGATACTAGAAAATACACTTATTTTGTGTATAATGTATCAGTGTTAATAAAACCCCATAATTCTTTATTTAATGATCTCACCAGGAAGTAAGATGATAGCTTTTTTACCTCTTTAGTCTAGTAGAATTTGTCTCTTGTTGTCACTGATGACAGTTAATGCTTTGAGGTGAATTTAAACACATCTGTAGGAGGGGGAAGATGAAATAAATTCTTGCTATATTCTGGTATATACTTTCTGGCTTCCTACAAATACTTAATTGTAGGAATTAATATGATTAATATGAGGTTCAGAAACACGTTCTTTTCTCACTACTTGAAATAATGACATCATTTACCAGCACGTTTAACATCTGAACGTTACCTGCTTCACCTGCAGGCAGTGGATCTGAACTCCTTGCCAGTGCTTTTTACATGATAGATGGAAGGTTTTGGCCTCAGGTGGCCAATGCAAATGGCTTTTTAGTGAGCAGCTCAGCTGCATTACGTGTGAGTCAGTCTGGAAGCAGCGCAGTCTACCATGAATGGGTGTGATACGTTCGGCAGGGTGAGCTCTATCTCATATGGGCAATTGAATTTTGTTATCTATTTGTCCTCCATCAATTTTTAAGTGGTCCCTATCTTTCTTTATTTCTATGGCTCCATCTTTTTTTCTTCCTCTGTGACATATTTAAGCAGGTAGCACACTTGCAACCAAATAGATTTCAGTACCAGTGAAAGAGAAGGCCATCTAAGATTGGCTAGATTATAAATACTGTGACTGCGAACACAACCTTTGTTGGTCCCACTGCTACTGAACTGTACTATTTGAATTTACACATAATAATACTCAATACAACAAAGGTGGGTAAAGACATCCTGTGGTTTGCTCTTTCCACCGTGGTAGGTGACTGGATGTTAGCAGTACTGATCTGGAGTTGCAGAACTCCACAGAACAGCATTGCCTAACTAGTATTGCCCAGTTTCCATTTATTCAGAAGACACTTTAAAAATTAAATTATTGTTTTTCCATTAGTTATTTGTTCAATACTCTGAATTTTTATGCCTCCCATTTGATATTTATATTTGTCTGTACTGTCAGATGAAGATGAAGAGGACAGCAGAGTTTCACCTGAGCCAGAACTGATCCTGAGAGATTACCAGATGGAAGTTGCAAAACCAGCACTGAATGGGGAGAATATTATAATATGTCTCCCTACAGGCAGTGGTAAAACTAGAGTGGCTGTTTACATTACCAAAGATCACTTGGATAAGAAGAAAAGAGCATCAGAGCCTGGAAAAGTTATAGTACTTGTTAATAAGGTATGTTGCTCCATTAAAGAAATATTTTTCAAGCCTCCTGCACTGTTAATATAGAATTTTTAAAATGAATATAAATATATTTCTCAGGCAATCGGCTCTGGACTGTCATCTCCATTATATTGGTACAAACATAAATGATTTTAATTTATCTGAGTCCAGCTGGAATCAAAATGTGCCATAATAACTACATCATTGGAAAAAGTACAATTCTTTTTTAGGACAAATAAAACTAAAATAATATTTAAAAAAACAAAATCTGTTTTTCACATAGTGCATTTGTATTTGGTAATGAAGGCCATGCAGCGAACCTTACACTGCTAAGGAATATTCTGTCAGTTTTTCTGATGACAACTGTAACACTTATAACTATAAGGACATTCAGGACATCTAAATTAACCTTTCTCTATTGTAATTTTAAAACAGAAATATATTAATATATTTAATAATATCATAAATGATTAAAAGATATTCAGATCCTCCTATAAGAAGAAAATTGATAGCATATTATAAGCTCAGTTAGGGAGCAGAGCATGTTTGTTTGTTCTTTCTAAGGCACAGTTAAGCCAGAGTTTTGGGGACAAAATTTTTGTAGGTGTGCAGTCAGTTTTTAAGGGAGTTGGCTTGGGGATTTTTAGTATTTGGAGGCATTTTGTTTGTTCAGTCGTCATACCTTGCAGTGAATAAGGTGGCATTTGCTTTTTTTGTAAAAAAAACAAAAAGCCTTACATTGTAGAGAGAATATGTGTTCACCTAACAGCATCTCTGACAAATAAGCATGTATTTTCAACCCTATGCAAACTCTGGTTTAAATTATATGGAAACTTCTTTAGGTCCCGTTGGTGGAACAGCATTTACGAAAGGAGTTTCATCCCTTCTTGAAGCGCTGGTATCAGGTTATTGGACTAAGTGGTGATACTCAGCTGAAAATCTCATTTCCTGAGGTTGTCAGGCGAAACGACGTCATTATCAGCACAGCGCAGATCCTGGAGAACTCACTATCACATGCAGCTGAGGAAGAGGAGGAAAGTGTCCATTTATCAGGCAAGTTTTTCCCTCTGGATTTTTCATAGAGGAACTAAAGGTACGACTGCTGCGGAAAACTGCTGAGTAAAACTGTGTGGGATTCAGTAGTGAACACTTCTTTAACTGACTGGTTTTACAAATGCAAACTGGACTATGAGAGTAGAAAACAGATCTTGATCAATGAGCATGCAAAACTTTCAAGCCAGATTAGACTCTTGCACTTTATCTGTACTAAATATTGGTTGTGATCCCCATTTTATCTAGCTCAAGCAACATCTTTTGCAGATGCAGCTATAATGATTCCTGTTTCCAAGCTTGCTTAAGAAGTAAACACTGAGGTATTTCACATAAAAGTTGTAGAGAGGACATGTTTTAAACAATGAGTAAAATTCAAATGTAGTCACCAATTTGAGAAATACAATGGAATACAAGATAGGAACCAATCTGTTACAAAAGATATGTTCTTTAAGATCTTATTCTTTTACTTACATAGATAGCATTACTTCTCACCATATCTCTCTTAAGTAGGTAACTATAACAATCTCCACCAGCAGATGAAGGAAGTTGGGAAAAGCGAAAGATATGAGATGAGATGTAAAATTGTTTCCCAAAATAAAAAGGCTGTGAACTGCTTTGTATAATTGCAGCATTTAAGCAGGCTAATGTGTAAACAAGACCCCTGAAATTGTCTGGTTTAAGAGAAGAAAATAAAGGGGTGGGAAAGGAAAGCATATAACCCAGAATATTAAGTGATCTGCTTTAGTCATTTTCACTAACAGTTTTATGACAGATGCTGAAAGAGCAGGGAATTACCACACTGAGAATGACTGCCCAACTAGAAGTAAAGGGGAAACTGCATAAACCAACTTTGCTGCTAGAGAAACTGAGAAATGTTTACGAATCTTTCAAACCTTAAAATATCTTTTCTGATTGTGTAGTACTGCATATGTGTACCTGAAATATGATCTGACTAAAAAGTCTTCATGCATGTCCTCAGGTACAGAAGAGATGATTGGTAGCGCTCTCACCATTTGTTTGTTCCTTCCAGTTATACATCCGTAAAGGAATATAAAACCCTCTAATTGGCCAGGGATAGGGAGGAAGTTTCTGGTTTGCTATAAAAAGAAAGCCTATCAAGACAAGCCTATCAGCAATGCCAGAATGGCTTCTAATATGTTCCAAATGGCATGTAGTTTGTTAGATGCAGTTATGGAAATGATTATAAAAGATATGACTCAGTAAAACTACAGTATGTCTGTACCGCTGGTTATTAAAAAATCTGTCTGAAATTCTTTATATTATAAGTTCATTTCTGCAGAATTGAAAAAGTTTTCCACCTTACATGAAGTGAAAAAACTACTTAACACATCAAGAGTGCAGCAAGGATTCTACAGTCCATTAATATATATAAACACTTCTCTTTCCTCCTTTCTCCAGTACTGCAAATATCCTAGTACATGAAGACTCAAAAAATTGACTGGATTTCCTCAACAGTGTGAGAAAACTTATTTACACAAATTCAACATCTAGAAGAAAAATAATCTTTTTATATTTATCTTTTTTTTCAGATTTTTCTCTTATCATTATTGATGAATGTCATCACACTCAAAAGGAAGGGGTCTACAACAATATAATGCGACGTTACTTAAAGGAAAAGATGAAGAATAGGAAGCTGGCAAAAGAAAACAGACCTCTCATTCTACAGCCTCAGATTCTGGGCCTTACAGCCTCACCTGGTGTAGGAGGTGCAACATCCCATGCGAAAGCTGTAGAACATATTCTGAAAGTAAATAGCCCTCAAAATTACAAATCACCAAAGGAATATTGTTTTGTTCAAGTAAAACTTGTATTAAAATCAGTGTTGGGCTCCAAACTTATCATCTGATTTTTTCCTGTGTTTTCGCTCATGGTCATTCAATACATATATATATATATATATATATATATATATATATATATATACACACACACACACATATATATATATATGTTATGTATATATTATACACATTACATGTATTTTATATATATATTTCTAAAACTGGTAAGATGAGGTACTGTGTTGAACAAAACAAAAACAGAAATTCTAAGTGAAATGCTTAAAAAAGTAGAAACTGTGTTTGAGGTACAGATAGCATGAAAATGTATTTATTTCCAGCAGTTAAGAGATGCTGACAGAGATGGGAGAAGTATGTAGTTGCATAAACATCAGGCAGGGGCTTATTGGTTAAATTCTATACTACACATACAGCTGTGAATCCAAAACTCTATTTTACATAAAGTCCAATGGTGATACAAATATTGGTGATTCAAAACATAATTTAATCCAGTACTGTAGGAAAAAATTTTGGCTAGCAAATTGCACCAGACCAGACCATGGAACTGAACAGGTGAGGCCTCAAAGAAGCTATTAGGCTGTTTTGAAGTAGGCAGAATGGTGAGGTACTGTGAGAAAATAGGTTTTTGGCAGTTGGAAAATCAGAGAATTCCTTTCCATCTGCTTTGAAGTCCTAATGACTAAATGTAAGCTGAATGTATAGAAACTCAAATATATAATTACAGGTGGAGATGTCAAAAAGGACGCCTGCCAGACTTTTTCCTTTGTTTTATATTCATAAAAATTCATTAAAAACATTTTCCTTAGTTCTTTTAAGCTGAAATATAAACATACATTTTTCAAAAGATTAAAAGCAGCAAAATCTGGTAAAATTGTTCAGTTAGCACAGCAAGTTTCTTCATCACTTTCTCTTTCACCAAAAGACATTTTCAAATTATATTCTACTTTCAAGTGTAGCTTTGAATTCTGCAATTATTCTCTCATATTACATTTCTTTTATTCTGCTTCACTGTTCTTTTTGTTTGCTTGAGTTATGCTCCAAAATATTGCTGGTATATTTTAACTTTGAAAACCTGTTTTGCAGCCTAATCTGCACATTTTTTTCTAATGTGTAACGATCATTTTTAGCCTAGGGAGTAGCTTGTTCAGCTTTTCTCAAGTTCTTGTTAAAGTCTTAGCCTTTCTCATGCTGATACAGTCTGCATAGTATTTTGTAGGAAGAAAGTAAACTAAATTATATTTTAAAAAAATATTTGAATAACATGCTATATTGCTTTAATTTAATTTTCATGTAGAATAACTGTTAGACAAAACGTTAACATTAAAATGTCATCATTGAATGTTAACATGAAAATAAATAATACTCTATTTTGTCCCAGATCTGTGCCAATCTTGATGCATGTAGAATCATGACTGTTGAAGAACATGCCTCCCAACTGAGGAATCAGGTGAAGGAACCATATAAGAAGACTGTGATTGCAGATAACAAAAGAAGGGTATGTTTTGTCAAACTAATCAGCGTTAAAATTATGTTGGCCTTTAAAGGCTTTTTGTATGATATGAAAAACTTTGCCTAATGCTCTTTTTCTAAAAATTTATTGTGATACATTGTACTAATCTGGATATATAGGTGCATCCATTGCATTCCTTCAAATGGGCAAGTATGAATAAAGTAATAAACTTTTTTTTTAATGTTCGTCTTTAATTTTTGATAGTTGAAATGCTTGTATTGGGGTGTCATTATATTTACTAAATGTGCTATGTTTGCAGTGTAATTCTCATAGTGTTTCAAATTATTTATTGCTTGACTCCAAATGCTTAGAGAACCAGTAAACTTAGCACCAGTAAACTTAGAACCAGTAAACTTTTTTTTGAAATTAAGGTATTAGGTTTGAGAAAGTTTTTCAAAATGATATTAGCCAAAAAGAGTTTAGTCTAGTGTTCTGATTGCCAGAAGAAAGATGTTCACTTGTTTTTGTCATCAATTTATTTGTAGGATCCATTTAGAGAGAAAATTATCGAGATCATGACAGACATTCAAAACTATTGCCAGCTCCATCCAAAATCGGAGTTTGGAACTCAGCCGTACGAGCAGTGGGTGATTAGAGAGGAGAAAAAAGGTAAACGGTTAGGGGAAATTACCTGGCTTTCGGCTCTTGGGGTCGCTTTGTAGGCACAGCATTATTTTTTATGTGTTTGGTCTGCTTTTAGCGGCAAAAGAAGAAAAACGCAAGCAACGTGTCTGTGCAGAACACTTGAAGAAATACAATGATGCTTTGCAAATAAATGACACTGTTCGAATGGTTGATGCATACAATCACCTGCGTAGCTTTTATAAGGAGGAAAAAAGCAAAAAAACAGTAGTGAGTGATGATGAGGATGAACCAGCAGTATCAAAACAGGACGAAACTGATGAATTTCTAATTGGTTTGTTTTATGGTAAGTTTGAAATGCATAGTGATATTGAGTATTTGAAATTCCTAAAACCAACTACTGTGCGCTAACAAAATTTGCATTAATTATTAGTTTCTAAAGATTGCTGTGTTATTATGACAGTATTTGGATGTCCCAGTTCATACATTAAGGACTACATTAGACAAAATCATAAAGTGTGATTGTGTCCCAGTGTATAACAGAAGTTCTTCAACTTTGTCCTAAGTACCAGGCTCTTCCTTTTTGCCTGATAATAAGTACAGACTTTCTCTGCTTTTTTCTGCTGAAGCATCCCTGAGAGACACTTCTATAAATTGTAGTTTCCACTATTGATTGTAGTATTCACTCTTGAGGAACAAAAAATTGAGCAACAGGATTACGAAATTTATGTGGAATGATGGTTATCCAGCTGACCTCTACCGAAGTTTGTTAGTACGTATACTAAGCAAAGGGACTGATGTTCTGGAGTAAGCTCCAAATAAAAAGCAGTTTCTGACAGAAGCAAGCAGAAGACTTAATCACAAAGTTGGGTGCCCATTTCTTGAAGCTTTCCCTTTTCATTTAATCTTTAACACACTAATCGTTTTTGCCTCTTTTTTCTCCCTTATTGCCTACAATGCAGGAATTGGTCCCATGCCATATGGCTCATGGATAGTGCTCTCTTCTTCAAAATTTCAGTATCGAATATTGAATTACCTATTATTACTTAAGAATCAAAAAGTTAAAACTAATTAGAATGAAATTGAGTTGTCTAGATTGTTTTTGTTTCCATGGGTAAATGAAGTTCAAAGAACCTGATAATGAAAAATAAATTATACTTCAGAGATTTGTTCTGGTTTTATCACTGAAGGACCATAAGCTAGGACTTTAAAAATAAAAATAAATAAATTTAAAGAAATATATAAAGTGATAGGAGACCTCCCTGGTAATAATCACACTCAGTAGCGCCTGTGTGAGAGTCATTTATCTTAACATCTCACTGTGAATATTTAAATTTCTTTATATGTTATAGATAATAAAGTGCCGATCCTAGTGTCTTTTATGTAGCAAGTTTCCAGTGCAGATTCCTGATTTGAGTATTCCAAGGAGCATATCTTTTGTGTAAGTTTATAGGAATATATCAGCTCTGAGAGCTGTGCATATTAATGTTTCTCCACATGAGACTCCAGTTATTTTAAAACTGATAAGCTGTTATTTAGCCCTTAAATGCAGTGCACTTAACTGTACCACTTCTCTTGGTATCCAGAAAGAGGATTTTTTTTCCCCCTTTTCTCACCATGGAAAATAGCCAAAAGGTATGGTAAAATGTTGTGGTGATTTATTTTGATAGATAGTGTGCTTTTAATGAGTATAAACTAACTTGAAAAACAGCCACAGCTCTTCCTGCTGGGTGTGAATTAGCCATGCTGGGAGGATGATATAGAAAACTGCTCTTTTTGATTTTTTTTTTTAATTTACATTTGTTATTTTTAAAGCAAAAAAGAAACAGCTGAAAAGGTTTGCTGAAAATCCCGAATATGAAAATGAGACACTAACAGAGTTGCGAAACACTTTAATGGAGAACTTCACAAAGACCAGTGAACCGAGGGGAATTATTTTCACCAAGACCCGGCATGGTGCTTCTGCTCTGTTCCAGTGGATTAAAGATAACAAAAAATTTGAAGAAGTAGGAATTAAGGCCCAATATCTTATTGGTGCTGGGCACAACAGTGAAACTCAACCTATGACTCAGGTACAGAACTATGGACTACAGTGTTAAAATTTTATATGCGCTTTGAGGAAACGGCTTGTTTTAATACCAGAATTTATAAAATGAAGTTTGGAACCCAAAGCTCTAGTCTCATACCTGTCACCACTTTACCATGATGAGCTACACCTTAGGAAATTAACAGCATGTTAATCTTATTTCCATAAGAAATAAACTTTTTGTTGCTTAGATTCTATGAGACTTAACAGTCAGTTACCTCCTAGAGCAGGATATAGTCAAAAAGGATATAAGTTGTGGTGAGACATAGGAAGAAAACGAGAACAAAACGGTGGTAGCAAAAAAGGTGTTGGCAAAGAGTTTATATTTACCAAAGGAACAGTAATTCTATTTTAATGTTGAAATATGTGATATTCAACATAAATATATGTGATATTCAACATTCAATATATATATTGATTATAATGCTGTGTTGAAAGATAAAATTAATTCATGTTAATGAATGCCTGACATTTTCTGATGTTGCTGCTTAATCAATTTCTACCAACCTATATCTACGCTTTACACCGACACATAATCATTGAATGAGAATTTGCCAGAGTGTCACAATTTTCACTTAGCAATGTCTCACACCACTGTGTTGACTTCTCACAAAGCATCTCCCTATCGCTCTGTAGCTTGAAGTCAAATAGTTTTCAGAAATAAGTACCTCGATATGCTAGACCTCACTGCTATTTTGCTTTTAGCTCCTGCTAAAGTTACAATTTCAGCATTTAACAAAAAGTGGGACAGAATCTGTTTTTACTTCAGTTGCTCTCAGGTTTAAAAGATGCTACACATTGGTTTCTCAAAAAGATACTTGTTTCCTGAGAACGTTTCCTCTTTCATTTGTGTATCACAGTACACAAAGCAATAACCTCTAGCTTTTGAAACTGAATATAGCAAACAGGAAGTTTCTGGCCACAATTCGGAAGATGTTTTGTGTCCCTGCACTCAAGCTTGTTTGAAATGTCCAAGTTCTGGATACTTTAAGTGTATCATCACTCTATTTTTGGGTACTCCATGCAGCTGTATTTGCAACAAGATGAAGTTACTATGGGTAATTAAGTGCTGTAGCAGTGCTGAAATCCATACTTAAAGCTGAAGACACAGAAGTGGTAGAAATTTAGCCCCCCTGCAAAACTATTTAAAGAACTTGCTGAGAGAATGAAAAACTGCATTACCAAACCTCCCCATGGCAGTTGAAACGGGGTTGTTATCTAGAATTTCAGATCTTCAGTGCTTAAGAAAAGAAGGGCCCCCTCCCCGCTCAAAAAAAGGTGCGGAACGTTCCTTGTATTCAGTAAGGGCCTCGTGTTTGTAATGTTGGAAGTACAACTAAGCCTTAATGTTTGGTACTCTGCTCTGAAAACTTGGGCTACAATTCCTTAAGTGTATTAACTGTGCCAAAATAATGTGAAAAAGTAATACTGAAAGTAACTATCCTGATTGTTTTTTTTTTTTAATTTACAGAATGAGCAAAGGGAAGTAATTGATAAATTCCGAGATGGAAGAGTAAATTTACTCATTGCTACTACTGTAGCTGAGGAAGGCCTAGACATCAAGGAGTGCAACATTGTTATTCGCTATGGCCTTGTCACCAATGAAATTGCTATGGTGCAGGTATGAGTTTATTGCATATTTAACTTATTTTTTTTCTGTTTGGGCAGTGTGAATCATATATCTAAACTTTGAAGGTGATCTGGGAATACTTGCATACTAAAGGAAAAATGTCCTTGTTAACAAGGTTCATTTCCTGGAGTCATTCCCAGTCAGCATGCAATATAAAATTGGCCTCTGTGAGGCCAATTCATGTTCATAACAACCAATAATCTCTCCAATGTTTTGTCCAGAAAAGGTGTGAGAATATGATCAGAGGAATGATTGAAGCTGATTTCCTATTCTTGTACAGTGGGAAAAAGATGGGCATTTATTTCATTTTCCCCTCACATGCCCATGCTTTCTAGTGCAGTAGTATTTCCAGCTTAGGATCAACTGGTATTATGTTGATTGCTTTATGACCACTAGGCGAACATCAAGGAAAAGTGCCTTGGAGCACTCTGCAGTCTCTGTAGTAAATTAGATGCATAAGTTAAAAAAAGACAGATAAAAAGAAATAACTGCATATCAGAATTTAATTTGTGAATTCATCTGAGATGCCTAATAGCTTATTCTTTGTTGACAAAATACACTTTCTACTTTTTAAAATGTTGTGCTAATCACAAATTTCCTTAACTCTGAAAAAAGTGTTGTGTGCCCTTTTAGGGAACATAGTGCTTCTTTGCTTTATTCCTTGCAAATTGTAGGCTCGTGGTCGAGCTCGAGCTGACGAGAGCACCTATGCCCTTGTGGCTTCAAGTGGCTCAGGAGCTGTTGAACGTGAGGATGTTAATAATTTCCGTGAGAAAATGATGTATAAGGCCATTCGGAGTGTCCAGAAGATGCCACAAAAAGAGTACTTGGAGAAGGTATTTACTGCAACTCTGCATTTTTCTTTACTGAGTTGTTGTCTGTATTGTAAGGACTACTTTCTACTTGAACTTTTCCTTCAGTGAACAACACTTAAAATAACATTAGCTACTCTATCTGGCTTTGAATCCTTCTGACAATATTAATTGTATAATTTTTGTTTTTTGAGCCTTTAGGAATATCTCTTTTGTTATTGATAAGGGAGAAAATGCACAATTGGGGAGAATTGACCAGAAGTGATGTTTACTGATGTCAGTGAACTCAGTAAAGTAACTGAAAAATAATTGCTTTTGATTAAGATCTCATTGTTCTTTTAGAAGACATACCATACTAGACAAAGGTTATTTAAAGTCGAAGACACCTTTTAAATTAAGTTTTCAGGGCAAGTTTTATTTGTTAGGTTCTAGGATTTATGAAAACAAATCTCTATATTTATTGATCTGCTACTATCACTCCACCAGATTGCTACAGTTCTCTTATTGATCTTTTTCTAGATTCAGACCTTCCAGTTGCAAAGTCTAATGGAAAAAAAAATGAAGGCAAAAAGAGATCAGTGTAAGACATATAAGAAAAATGCTTCACTAATAAAATTCCTATGCAAAAATTGCTACAAGATGGTATGTTCAGGAGAGGATATACAAGTTATTGAAAATATGCATCATGTCAGCGTGAAAAAAGATTTTCAGTAAGTGCTTATGAAGTACTATATCTCTTTCAGGCAAAAATATTTTTTTCTTTTCAATAGGACTGTATAGGGTCTGTAATAATCAGGGCACAAAACCAGGGGCGGGGGGAAAAAAAAAGGTTATTGCAATATTGCCAAATATAAGATCTGTGGAGTTTGCAGTTAACGAGTTTGAAGATATGATGTTTCTAACCCCTGATTTCCAGTTCACCAAAGTCGAAAAAGATGAAGTTCCTGTAGTAATATGGTAATATTAACTAGGTCACTTGATACTTATTCTACAGTGCAACTGCTACGGAAGCCAATTACCAGTTATTCAGTGCAAAGAGATCCATTTACTTACTTAAACCACTAACTGACCCAAGATAAAAGCTTGAGCCATGGCCATGGTTCATGAACAACGTAATGGCCACGACTCTGACAAATGTGTGCTTAGAGAATGTTAGTTCCAGTGACTCACCTCCCCATGTGCTCTTGTTCTTTCTTGTCTCCATTGCAAGAGATTCCCTGACAGCTAGTTCGGTAAACATTGACATATGTTAAGCTATATTTAACTTTTCAGTGTCGGAGTGCAAGGAGGTGACTTTTACCATTCATAATGCAAATTAAGAAACTAGGAAGACATTTTAGTTCAACTTTAGCATTTGCTTAATGTAATTGTTTGTAATGGGTATTGTACATTATTGGTCAGTCACACTTTACTAATTATATAGCAGACTCCATCCTGCCAAGTTACTGCCCTCCGTGTTCTTCACCGAGACACATCACTGATACAATTTGTAAAAACTTCTTGAAGGCTTGAGAAATTAGCACCCATACACTGAGAAAAGGAAAACTGAATGGCAGCCATAAACTCAGACCACTTCTACTGTGAAGTGACACTGTTTTGTCAGCTTAGTGTTATCAGTCCATCTGAACTATATGATAATAATTCTTTTCACCCTTCAGAATGGTTTAATGACTCAGCATTAAGTACTCCCTAAACTAAATAGTACAAGAACATGTGAGTGCTCTGCAGCTCTAGATAGTCAGAATCAGAAGATTCTATTAAGGAGTAAGGCTGAACTGCAGGGAATAGAAAGAAAACCTCTAGTTTGCAGATATCACTTCTTTGACTGCTCCCTGGCACCTGAAAAAAATAAATCAATAAAACTCTGTCCCCTGTTATAACTGAGACCATGCTCTTCCTATCTTGGGGTGGGAGAAGATATAGCCCCCCACATGAACACACATGTGTTTTTTAGCCTTCTAAAATGATACCAGAGGCAGTGGGGAATGCAGCTGTATTTCATTCTTACCTAAGAGCATGAAATATGACCCGGCTATTTCTCCGACTCCTGAATGTGCACAATAGTCAGAGACTGCTGTGTGCCTGCCTTCAGTAGTTGTAGTCATTGGGTCTTTAAGACCATCTGTAGCACATAAAGATCAACCAACATATTCTGACTTGCATTTCCTTTCTGTTTTTCAGAAGCCTTTACCATACAAGAGAAAATAAGACACTGCAAGAAAAACATGCTGATTACCAGACAAATGGGGAAATTACATGTAAAGACTGTGGACAAGTAAGGAAGAACTTCTTGTCCTTAGTTTTGTTTTTGTTATTTTGCTTGTTTGTCTTTTTTTTTTTTTCTGTCTAATGATACCATATATTTTATCGAAAACATAATTTCTTTATATTTGCAGGCTTGGGGAAATATGATGGTTCACCGAGGTCTTGACATGCCTTGTCTAAAGATTAAAAATTTTGTGGTTGTGTTTGAAGACAAGAAAACAAGAAAAGACATTTTTAAGAAATGGGGAGAACTGCCAGTCCGGTTCCCTGATTTTGATTATGCAGGTCATTATCTTTCAAGTGATGAGGATTAGGGACTCTGAAGAGGGGCTTTTATTTTCATCATGTGTTTTTCTGACTACTGATTAGAAGCTCCCATCTCATATAGTGAGGACTTTACAGGAAAACTGCAAAGTCCCTCAACTTGAGCAAACTGCCTTGAAGAGAAAGGAAGACCTGAGGGATTTGAAGGACTAAGTCACATGGCTGCTGTCTGCACACAGATTTGCAGTGGTGCTCTGGGACAAAGAATAAGACCAAGGAGGCGGCAACGGTGTGTGTGTTCATGGAACAAATTCCTCGTCTTTTCACAATCAAGTCCTGTGTGGGGTGATGATATTGACAGAATGTATTAGGTGACCAGTGTCCCAGCATAGACCATTAACATAGATGTCTCCAAACTTGTTCATGATGATCATTTTCCAATTTTGTGATGTCACTGAAATTGATTATTTTAATATGCCAGAAGTGCAATGTCAAGTGTTAGTTTTATTGGACTGTTAAACAATGGCTATACAATGTATTTGTTCAATAAATGGCTGTAATGAATAACCTTTGCCATCTGTGATGCTATTTATTCTCTGTCACTGTAAGTATTTTGACAGTAATAATGCCACAAATCTACAAGATACTGGAATTCTGACTGCAAAAATGGCATAATGTGTCTCCATATTTATCGAATTGACAGATTCCCCTCCTCCCTCTGTTTTCAAGTAAAATAGTGGAGAGTGGAAAGGTCTGTTTGTTGTTACAACTCTCAGATTTGCAAATTCAACATAAACTGGTATGTTTACTGGCATGGGCATGTAAACACAGGGCATGTAGTCCCAGGTGAAATTTATAAGTTAAAACATAATTGAAAAGCACTCTTTCGAATACAGCCTGGAAAAAAAAGAATCTTGTTTGTGCCTAAATGTGTGTTTACTCCAGATTTTTAATAGAAATGGAAGATACTACACACATTTTTTTTTAAATCAGATGTGATTATAGATATGCATTGGGACCAGATTTGGATATTTTTCCATATTTATAATCCTGACCATTCTCTAGCGGGGAGGGGGGGAAAGCCTCAGTTTTGACTGAGAGGAGTGACATATTTCAAAAATCACCACATTGGCCCAGGCCAATTTCACTGATAGCCACTAATTTATAAACAGATTGTAGTTATAAGTATGCACCGTGGATTTTCGCTGTGGGAGTTTTGTACATTACAGTGTGCATAAACTACAGAAATTCTGTTTTATTTATAGACTGAAATTATTCCAAAATGTTGGTTTATACTAATAAACTATCTTAAGGTTATTTTTTTTAAAAAAGAAGATAAAGGTATGAGAGTTAACAAGATTATACATGATGTTAAGATGCACAGATTTTAAGAGACACGGTTGAACACAGGTCTTTGAATGATACGACTGAATTGAAACAGGCAATGCCAGTGGAAATTTCAACAGTAAGCGCTTTGTAGTGTATCTGAATTATATTTGTGTTTATATGATGCTGCTCCTACTCTTCTGTGCATGTAGCATAAATATGAAATAATCACTGATTTCTTTATTAAGCATTACGTGTTTTACTAGTTTAAAAAAATCCTCTCATATATTGTTTTTCTAAATAGATTAATCATTTCCTTCTGCTGTAGTATTTTGCTTAACATTGAAGCTTTTAGCTATTTTTAGAAGCTGCTGGCTCTGCCTGAAGTGAGTTTTACACATTTTACATATTAATATGACAATCTGACAATTAAAAAATGCCTTGAGATGGATAAAGAGATCACACGGGACTGTGATTTAAGATGTATTTTGTTAACGTGCTCAGTATCTGATAAATAAAAAGCTATGAAATATACTAAGAATTAATCTTCAGAATAGTCTCTCGATAAATAACAAATCATTTCTGGATTTTTGTTTAATGAATTCTTATAATTCTTTAAATCAAGAAAAGCTTCTGGGATGTTCAGAATGTAAATGCATTATAATGCATTGTACATAGTATTTTCAGGTCCCTCTAGTCATTCACTGACAGTTTGCTGCTGGCTCTCCTATCAAATATAGAGTTCTGAGTATGTTACTTCCAATTACTGAAGCAACAAAAGTACCTGCGACTGAATTTTTTAAATTTCTTTTTCCTTTTTTTTTTTTTTTTTTTTTTTTTACAGTTGAACAGGCCATATCACAAACATGCCTGGGCTTCTTGTAGTTCATCTGTGTGGTGCCTTTATGCCCCTAGTTCCTGATGTGACTCAGCCACGTTGTCACCAAAGCCTGAGGAGTGCTTACGCAATCTCATTGCAGCATAACGAACCTCAAATGTTGGATGCTGCTGGCTTGTAGGATAAGCAATTTCCACTTCAAATCATTGTCTCTGAACCGGGCTGTAAAACGTGCCTATATTGCTCATCCAGGAAGTGTGAAGTTGTAAAAAAACAAGCTAAATTGCCATATTTTTATCTACTAGTTACTTCTGCACTTATTGCCTTTATGGACTCAAAGTCCTCCAGCGAGTGTTGCAAATCCTGATTTTATTTTCCAGTTAGACCTTTTATTGTTCACAACTGTGGAGAGAGGAAGAACTATTAAATGGTCACTGTGGATTTGTCTAGCTATGTATGTGACTATTAAGAACTAAGGCAGCTTTTGATTTACATTAATTTCCATCTCCTTCAGCTTTAGCTGAAGAGACAGAATTATTCGGAGACGGAATAATAAAAATATTCTATTTTTGGTCTGATGTCATACACAACTGCATCTGTGAATCCCCATTTTCTAATCTGGAGAATGTAAATAGTAACCATAGAGTAGCTGCATAACTAGGGGCATAGCTGTTCTAGAAACTACACTTTCTATTCACAATGGATCCTTGTTGTTTTAGCTTTCCTTGATGTTTTAGCTTTCCGGGCTTTTTATTTACAGCGTTGTGTAGTTTTGAGACTGCAGATGCTAGGAAGAGCTTTGACTACTGAAAGAACTGCTGTTTGCTTCTTCACATGTAGTGGTATAAACAGTCCTAAGGGATTTTAGCTGTCAGGACAGTAGATCTACAAAGCCTGTGAGGTTTATTGTCTGCCAGTTACACTTTGTTTTGCTTCCAATGCTCCAACATTTGTGAATCTTACCACAGCATATGCCTAAATTATTAGACCTCAAGTCAGAAAAATACATAATATGCAGCATATGCAGTCACTTTGCAAAGTCATTTGGATCATGTGAGTTTGAATCATTTCCTTTGAGACATTCTCTAAATGTTAGTTTATTAGAGGATTTTAGAGTTTTTACGTTTGGAAAATTACAACTAGCTTGATCAAAATGTGCATTTGCAATTTTGCAATGTTCTGGTTGTCAGCTATAACCAAAGCCGCCAGGAAAAAAAAAAATAAGATTTTCTGTGAGTTGTGTTATTGAGAATTCATATAGCCTTAACCACAAAATGCTAGGAAATAACAGTTTTGAAATATGAGTAAGAAGCATGAGTTTGTATATGAGGAAAAATTCTTTTGCCACAATACTTTTCTGTTTTGGAAATTTTGAATCACAGTGGTTTTATCTTATTAGAAAACAGTTCTTAAGCTCCATTGTGTCCTGCATTTACAGCACATGAGGAACAGTGTATTTTGGTCTTCTCCACCAGTTTTCCTTCCTGGCTTTTGTCAAAAGGATGACCTTATTCAGAA